AACATAAAAAAAAAAGAACAAGGATAAAAATAGAAACAAAAAAATTAAAAAATTTTAATCCAAAATTAAAAAGTAATCAGTTATCTCATATAATATTTTAATAAATAAATTTATTAAGTTGAATCAATTTTTTTTGCACTGTAATTGTTATTTTAATTTGTTTTTATTTTGATAATTTTTTGTTGTTATTTACTAGAATGGATTAGATGAACATAATTTGAGTTGTTTTGAGAAAATGGAATGAATAATATTTATAAGCATTTATGTTAAATTAACAATATTAAATATAACATACCAATATTATAATATTTAGTAATATAAGTATATATTATGGATTAGATGAGCATTTCTCAAAAGTTTAACTTTGATAACATTTGGTTGTTATTTACTATAATGGATTAGATGACTTTGATAACATTTAATTTGTTGTTATTTTGATAACTTTGATAACATTTGGTTGTTATTTACTATAATGGATTAGATGAGCATTTCTCAAAAGTTTAAACCTTGCCAATGTAACTCAAAGCTTGCATTTTATTCTTTTTACAAAATCATCAATTTTCATTGATCATCACACTTTCATTAAGTATAACGTAAGATTTTGTGGTATCCACTAGTATAAATATTTTAATTTGAAGATCGAATTCATTCATTGTATTCATATAGGTTCAAGGAGTGTAGCTGCAAAAAATCATCAAAATCGGACTTAAAATAACCGTTAAATCGTCATTTTTCGTTGATAACCGTCGAAATTTTTTGTCCCGTTACTTCATCCCAGAATGTTTGTTTTTTGCGATTTTTTTCGTATATGATCTCGAATTATATACAAACATGTTTGACGGTTGGATCGTTGAAATTAGTTTCGTAGAATGCGTATCCCATCAAAACGATAGATTCACTAAGACTTAAGAGTTTATTCATACTTTCATTAAGTATAACGTAAGATTTTGTGGTATCCACTAGTATAAATATTTTAATTTGAAGATCGAATTCATTCATTGTATTCATATAGGTTCAAGGAGTGTAACTGCAAAAAATCATCAAAATCGGACTTAAAATAACCGTTAAATCGTCATTTTTCGTTGATAACCGTCGAAATTTTTTGTCCCGTTACTTCATCCCAGAATGTTTGTTTTTTGCGATTTTTTTCGTATATGATCTCGAATTATATACAAACATGTTTGACGGTTGGATCGTTGAAATTAGTTTCGTAGAATGCGTATCCCATCAAAACGATAGATTCACTAAGACTTAAGAGTTTATTCACACTTTCATTAAGTATAACGTAAGATTTTGTGGTATCCACTAGTATAAATATTTTAATTGGAAGATCGAATTCATTCATTGTATTCATATAGGTTCAAGGAGTGTAGCTGCAAAAAATCATCAAAATCGGACTTAAAATAACCGTTAAATCGTCATTTTTCGTTGATAACCGTCGAAATTTTTTTTCCCGTTACTTCATCCCAGAATGTTTGTTTTTTGCGATTTTTTTCGTATACGATCTCGAATTATATACAAACATGTTTGACGGTTGGATCGTTGAAATTAGTTTCGTGTTATGTTGTAAAGTGAATTTTATATATATTTAGGTCCCTACCTTTTATGGCACGAATCATACATTGTAAATAATGATTTCAAACTTAGCGCCCAAACCTTCCCACTCCACACCTAACAATAAATGGACAGTGGGAAATTATAGTGCTAGAATGAAATATCAAACAAGTGAAATTCTAGACCATCCCACTTCACTTTCCCCTTTCTTTCTCTTTGCCTTTCAGATTGCTCGTTTCTTTCACACCACCGTGACCCAACAGGCATGTCATACCCACATTTATTTACCCAGAAAACAAACCCCTCTCTCCATCACTTTGTCGCGGTCCATGGGCTCATCTCCATGTCGCTTGTTGTCCACCACCGAAAATTCAAGAACCCAAGAGATCCATTCCGCCAAAACTCATATCTTCCACTCCCAGACACATGAGACAGCCGTTTTTCTCCTAATGTTCTAAGGTTGATTTTTTTTTTCCTTTCAAATTTTTATTTTATTATTATTATATAAATTTGGTTTTGAATTTACAGGTACTTTCCTCATGTTACTTGTGTATACCAATATCCTGGAGGCTTATCTCCTCATGTTACTTGTGTATACCAATACTTGTATCACTCATACCAAAATCAATGAATCGATCGGTTTTTACTAATGATGGAACTTGTGCTTATTGGTTATATTTGGTTTTTGGGTTCACTATCTAATCCATAGTTTGTAATACACTTCAATATTTTTATATAATTATTATAGTTTTTAGGGGTGTAAAACAGTTAAATTAATATATAATTATTATTATTAGGGGTATAAAACTGCAAATAATAAAAAATAATTATATATAATTATTATTATTAGGGTGTAAAACATTCTTTGTATTCATATAGGGGTGTAAAACAGTTAAATTAATATATAATTATATATAATTATTATAGTTTTTAGGGGTGTAAAACAGTTAAATTAATATATAATTATTATTATTAGGGGTATAAAACTGCAAATAATAAAAAATAATTATATATAATTATTATTATTAGGGGTAATACATATGATTGACAACAAGTACCTTGCGTCGAAATAGTCTCATTTTGCGTCGAAATAGGCTAGGGTTGCGTCGGTTAAAACCGACGCCAAGGCTGACACACATGTCGTATTGCGTCGAAATAGGCTAGGATTGCGTCGGTTAAAACCGACGCCAAGGCTGACACACACGTCGTATTGCGTCGGTTAAAAGCGACAGAAAACAAGGAAAAAAAAAAAAAACAGAATAAAACAAAGTCTAATTAGATGAACATAATAAAACAGAATAATAAAAAAAAAACAGAATAAAACAAAGCCAAAAGGATTATATGTTATGATACGATATCATAGCATACAAAATAAAACAAAGTCTAATTAATACAAAAAATAATTAATATATTTATTCCCTGTCATCATCTGTTAGCTCTTCGTCGATATTGGCATGATTAACAAACCCGGTAGGCAACGCTAATGATTCAAGAAAGGGAGTCTCTTCCACGCCAACCCTTGTATGAAAATTTTCATTATCAAGAATTTGATCATCCAAGTTCGGCGTGGCATAATCATCAATAGCATCACTATCCTCTAATACGTCAAATAAATCTCTTGGCTGAGTTCGAACAACTACGTGCCAATCTTTTTCAATCGTGTCCTCCACGTAAAATGCCTGTAATGCTTGTGATGCTAGTATGAAAGGATCATCTTTAAATCCCAATTGATTGAAATTCACCATAGTAAATCCATATTGATCAGTCTTCATTCCTCGTGGACTTTCACTATTAACCCATTCGCACTTAAATAACATCACAGCTCGACCCCTATCTCCTGCTTCAGTAGGACCGCAATATTTGACCTCGAACATATCTACAACTCTGCCATAGCAATTTACTTGCCCAATTGCTCCAGGAACATTTGCAGGTACAAAGACACCACAATTTTGATTCTTATGCTTATCATCCACAGATTTTATACGAAATCTAAATCCATGAACAATGTGACTTTTGTATCTACTCACAACCCTACTAGGATAATTAGCTAGCCAATGCAAGTCTTGAGATATCAATGTGTCATTAGCATCATATCTTGAATTCATCTGTAATAAGTATGAAGATAAAAATTGACAGAATAACTATAAACATGTTATAATTAAAATGATTGTTATATCAACTCACATGTTGCTTGAACCATTCTGGAAATTCTTTCTTGCTTAGCTCCTTAATTTGTCGCATAGTTAACCTTTCTCGACGATGTTTAGTTTTCAAGAATTCTTCATGTTGCCTACACAATTATGTCCAATTTAGATAATTATTTTTTCAAAGTTAAGAAAACCAATAAAACATTAAGACGTATGATTAAACGTTCTTACCTTCTAAATGGGCTAACTTCATCACAATTATTTAGAATGTATCTATGGCACTGATCAAGAACATTTAGATCGAGCTCCACATTTTCTCCTGAACCCATATAACATCCTTTCGAGTCAAAAATTGATAACCCACCAGATACTCCACGTCCAATACCATCTTCATTTCGGCCTCTACGGGTACGACGAGACTCAACGTCTGTAAGATACATGGAACAAAATGACAAGCACTCATCCACCAAATATGCTTCAGCAATAGAACCTTCAGGACGACCCTTATTACGAACATAGCGCTTCAGTGTTTGCAAATACCTACAATTATAAAACGAAATACAAATTATTATAATTATTAATTAAAGTTATGACTACAATTGTAAAAAAATTATAAAAATTTATTCATTACCGTTCAATTGGATACATCCATCTATATTGAACAGGCCTTGCAAGAGCTGCTTCATCTGCCAAGTGAACTGGGAGGTGCACCATTATATCAAAAAATGCAGGAGGGAATATTTTCTCAAGTTGACATAATGTCAAGGCAATTCTTGAATTCAGTTGCTTAAATCCTTCCTCAGACTCCTTCTTACTACATAACTGTCTGAAAATTGCACTCAACTCTAATAAAACCATAGTAACAGCTTTAGGCAAAACCGGGCGTATTGCAAGCGGGAGTAACTGCTGCATTAAAACATGGCAATCATGACTTTTCAACCCATGTATTTTTCGTTCATTCACGTGCACACATCGCGACAGATTTGATGAATATCCATCTGGGACCCGAATAGTAGACAATACTTTACAAAACACAGTTTTTTCTTCTCTTTTCAATGTGAACAATGCTGGAGGTCGAAATGTTCTATTTCCTTCTCTACGTGGGCGTTGACTATGTCTTATGTTCAAGAATTCAAGATCTGCACGTGCCGCCAATCCATCTTTAGACTTTTCTATATCTAGCAATGTTCCCACCACACTGTCACATATATTCTTCTCGATATGCATAACATCAAGATTGTGTCTAATCAACAGATGCCTCCAATAAGGTAGTTCATAAAAAATCGATTTCTTCTTCCACTAACTGTTACTACTTGTACTGCTCGAAGCTCTTCTTCTGCGTTGGCCAACTGAAGCATCTTTGTTTGGTTTTCCAAAAGTAAATCTCAATGTAGAAAGTTCTTCGAGACATTGTAAACCAGTCCACTGCCTTGGTGCACTACGATGCTCTCGACGACCATTAAAAGTGATGGTTTGCCTTCGAAACCTATGATTATCTTCAAGAAAACGTCGATGCCCCATATAACAAATCTTGCGACTCGCTGGCAAGTAAATAGATTCTTTATCATGCATGCAATGTGGACAAGCTTTATAGCCATGTGTACTCCATCCTGACAACATTCCATAAGCCGGAAAATCACTTATAGTCCATAACACGGCAGCCTTCATCGTAAAACTTTGGTTGGAACACGCATCATAAGTGGGAATGCCCACCTCCCACAACTCATTCAGCTCGTCAATCAATGGACGCATGTATACATCAATCTCTTTACCAGGACTGCGTGGTCCTGGTATTAACAAAGACAATAACAAATTTGGTTGCTTCATGCACATCCAAGGTGGCAAATTATAAACAGAAAGCACCACAGGCCATGTGCTATGATCATTCCTCATTTTCCCAAAATGATTAAATCCATCACTGGCCAACCCTAATCGGACATTTCGAATTTCTGACGCAAAATCCGGATATAAATTATCCAAATGCTTCCATGCGGGAGAATCTGAAGGATGTCTCATAAACTCATCCTTAGGACATTCAGTTGCATGCCATCTCATATGTTCAGCCATATGCTTCGACATAAAAAATCGTTGCAATCGTGGTTTTAAAGGAAAATACCACATAACCTTAGCTGCGACCTTTTTCCTCGAGCTATCCTCTGCATTGGTAATTTTATATCTTGATTTACCACAAACTGAGCACACGGTCAAATCTGAAGTATCTTTCCAATAGATCATGCAATCATTGGGACATGCATCAATTTTCACATACGACAGCCCCAAGTCATTTATAAGTTTTTTTGCCTTGTAACAGGATTCAGGCAAACAATCCCCTTCAGGCAACATTCTTTTAATTAACTCCAGTAAAGTGGTGAAGATCTCGTCAGGCATTCCCGCTAAACACTTGATCTGATACAATCTTACAACTGCTTCCAATTTCTTAAACTCCTTACAACCTGGCCACAAATCTTGATCTGCCTCTTCAAGCAACTTAAAAAAAGTCTGCACCTCTTCTGGACGCCCTTCCCCAATAGGGGGTTCAGTAGATGGCCCAACACCTTTTTCTGTTAATGGTTGGACAAATACATCATTAAGAAAATCATGCATGCCAATCACCTCATCTCCTGTTTCTTCTTCTCCAATTCCCACATTTTGCTCTCCAATGTTTTGCTCGCCATGATGTCGCCAACAAGCGTTTTTATAATCTTTATCCATATCATACAATATGAGATGTTCAACAATGGTGTTCCTAACAAAAGTATATCGATTACAACATCTTTTGCAAGGACATCTAAACTTATCAGGACCAACACCATTTGCAACTGCTTGATCCAAAAACAAATTAATTCCAGTTGTATACGCTTCAAAATTTCGGGGTATTGTCAACCAACTCTTATCCATATTTTACCACTTTACGAAGGTAAAATATTACGTTGACACTAAGATGCCTACAATCTTTCAATCCCTATCATGTAGGCATAACTATCAAAATTTTCAATTTCTATCTTTCACCCCTCAAACTCTATCACGATTGCAATCTTTTAATTTTCAACACCTATTATAGTAAAAAGAAATTAAAATAACAACAAAAAGTTATCAAAATTATGCTCATCTAATCCATTCTAATAAATAACAACCAAAAGTTATCAAACTTATCAAAATAACAACAAATTCAAATAACAATTAGAGTGCAAAAAAAATTAATTAATATATTCTTATATTCCTAAATATTATAAGTTTAGGTTATATTCTTATATGAAAGGATATTCTTATATTATAAGTTTAGGTTATATTCTTATGAAAGGTTATATTCTTATATTCTTATATTCCTAAATATTATAAGTTTAGGTTATATTCTTATTAGAGTGCAAAAAAAAAAAAATTAACATAATATATTCTTATATTACTCAATATTATAAGTTTATGTTATATTTAATATTGTTAATTTAACATAAATGCTTATAAATATTATTCATTCCATTTTCTTATAACAATTCAAATTATGTTCATCTAATCCATTCTAGTAAATAACAACAAAAAATTATCAAAATAACAACAAATTAAAATAACAATTAGAGTGCAAAAAAAAAAATTAACATAATATATTCTTATATTACTCAATATTATAAGTTTATGTTATATTTAATATTGTTAATTTAACATAAATGCTTATAAATATTATTCATTCCATTTTCTCATAACAATTCAAATTATGTTCATCTAATCCATTCTAGTAAATAACAACAAAAAATTATCGAAATAACAACAAATTAAAATAACAATTAGAGTGCAAAAAAAAAAAAAAAAATTAACATAATATATTCTTATATTACTCAATATTATAAGTTTATGTTATATTTAATATTGTTAATTTAACATAAATGCTTATAAATATTATTCATTCCATTTTCTCATAACAATTCAAATTATGTTCATCTAATCCATTCTAGTAAATAACAACAAAAAATTAACAAAATAACAACAAATTAAAATAACAATTAGAGTGCAAAAAAAAAAATTAACATAATATATTCTTATATTACTCAATATTATAAGTTTATGTTATATTTAATATTGTTAATTTAACATAAATGCTTATAAATATTATTCATTCCATTTTCTCATAACAATTCAAATTATGTTCATCTAATCCATTCTAGTAAATAACAACAAAAAATTATCAAAATAACAACAAATTAAAATAACAATTAGAGTGACAAAATTAATTAATTCGACTAAATTTTTATTAATTTAACAAAAATAGTAGAATTTTATCTAAGTGCTTAAATTATAATTTTTAAATAAATAAACTTGTGTATTATACAATTTAAAAATTAAAGAAGTTAGTGATACAAACCTGATTTGTTGAAGAATTTCGACGTCAACAATTCTTTATGTACTCAACCAGCTCAAATAAATTTCCTACAAAAATAAATTATAACTAAAAATTAAACATAAGAGGAGAAAATAAAAATATTATAAGCAAGAAAAACTTACTGTTGTGAAGAGGAACAAATGAAGTTTGAAAACCAAAGGAGAAAGCTGAAAGAGAGAGAACACGGGAGACTTTGTAAAAATTGGAAGAACGAATAAGAAAAGTGCAAGAGAAGAAAAAGAAAACACGGGGGAGATCATATAAAGACCATCAATGTGTCGCTTACAACCGACACTGGTTTTCAAAATATATGTCGCTCAAAATCGACGCAGGATTTAAAATATTAAAAACAAAGAATTAGTGTCGCCTAGAAGCGACACCCATAGTTTATGTCGCTTAAAAGCGACACTATTTTATTTAAAGCGACGCCAGTACTTAAAAATATTAAAATATATGTCGGTTATAAGTGACACTAAATTTTTACGTCGGTTTAAAAGTGACATAGAAATTTTACGACGCTTATAAGCGACAGTAAATACGACGTCATCTTCAGTGAGTGTCGCAAATCTCTTTTTCGCCACTATATAATATTAAACCGAAGCAACAACTGACACTATTAGGTCCTTTTGTAGTAGTGTTTTGCGGAAGGTCGAGAAAGCCAACTGTTGTGTTAGAGGCGGTTGCCTTATATAACACATGGATCTAGCATGCTTTTTTTGGAGTCCCTGGATCCCAAAATGACATTAGGCGTTCACCCCTCTTCAACTGCCTGATGGAAGATAAAGCACCTCAACTTGACTACTACATCAACGACCGTCAATACAATATAGGGTATTCCTTGGCAGATGGCATTTACCCAAAGTGGGCGACACTTGTCCAAGCAATTCCAAACCCTAGGAATGACGAGGAAAAGTTGTTTACCTTACACTAAGAGGCATACCGGAAAGATGTTGAGAGAGCTTTCGGTATTCTACAAGCACGGTGGAAGATTATCAGCGAACCGGCAAGAGGGTGGAGTCGAGAAAATTTGGACTCCATCATGATGTCTTGCATCACATTACACAATATGATAGTGGAGGATGAGCGAGATGGGTATATTGATGGAGAGTCCGATGACGACCAAGACAATTCAAATAGGTCAAGAAAGGCTCGTGCAAAAATATATGATAGGCCTAATTTGTCTTTCAATCCAAGAATTGGTAGTATCTCTATATATGAGTACATGAGGCGTTACAGAATGATATGTTCACGTGCCACAAACAAGTACCTACAATAGGATCTTGTTGCACATCTTTGGGCCAAAAACAGCATGGAGTAGGCGTTTAAATTTTATTTTGTTAAATGTTTTTTGAAATGTTGTTTAAGTTTCATGTTGTTAAATGTTTTTTTTTATGTTGTTTAATGTTATTTCGTGAGGCTCATGAGCCCTCTGGCCTAGCCCTCGGTTGGAGACGGTTTTCGAGGTATTTTCAGCCCTCTGAACCCTTCGGTTGGAGATGGCTTAAGGCACACGAATAAACGAGTTGCTTGGCTCTAGGTTGTGCACATGAGGGAGGCCCACTCTATCGCTACTCTCACATCGTCACTGCCATTGAGCTCAAGGCCCAACAATTATTCGATAGGCAGTTCGATGGGCTTCCTCGAGCCACAAGTTGCCTGCCAAATTTTGGGCCTATGGACCAACATTTTCTAGGATAAGGGCAATTTAATCCAACTGCCTTGGCATTTAAAGTGCCGGTGGACATGTGTTTAGAGAAGTTAATTTTGTGGCGGATAATAAACTGTGGTAGGTTATAATATTGACTTAGTATTTTGGTTTAACTCTTAACTTCCAATGTTGAAGGGAATACCTTACATTTTGATAACATTTATACGGGGTGCTTTAAACGCTTGAGGAATGCTAAACATACTCTCTCAAAAGTTAGATTCTTCATGAATTTTCTACATCATTATATTTTTGACACGATATTTTATAATGTTGGCATATGAATCGTGTAAAAAACATGAGGTAGAACATCCATGTAAAGCCCCACTATGAAAGAATAAATAAAAGTACGGATTATTAGACACCTATGAATCCCATTTACAAATTCTTAATTAGCAGAGAAATTGTATAAAAATAAAAATAAAAACAAAACAAAAAAACAGCTGCATAGATTATGTGTATTACTGTGTCCAAAAAAGGAAAAAAAAAAAAGAAAAGGGATGGTGTATATAAATCACCAGGACTCTCTGTGCTTGTATTGGATTTATTATTATTATATGTACTGTGCTGACATGAGAGATTTGCAACAGCTTTATCGATACATGGTGAAAATCTCTACCTCTCCTTTTTTTTCTAATATTTAAAAAATGGAAAATTGATTTAAAATAAAAATAAAAATTTGTTTTCCCCTTCTCTTATTGTTTTTTTCCCTTTCACATAAACTCAAAAGGGCTCTCTCATAAAACTACTTTCTGTTCCCTCCCTTTCATTTTCTTCACTGACAGAGGAATACCTGCACACTTTCTCACGCACGCACGCATACTCTAAACAGACTACCCCCAGTTCTGCACAGCCCATTTCCTCAGACACATCACACACACTCTCTCTCTCTCTTTACAGAGGGAGAAAGAAAGAGGAGAGAGAAAGAGAGGAAATGTATACGGCAGAGAGGACAGAAAAAAACACAGATTTTTCCAGCCATATCATACCTTATTATATCTCCTTCACCTTTTCCCCTCTCTCTCTGCCACTCAGATCAGATCCATCAAACCCTTCTCACACTCTTCCTCTCTCTTTCTCTCTCTCTCTCTCCCTAAAACCAAATCTTGCAGCTACAAAACAAACACTCATCCCCTCACTCTCAAAACCCCTCACTCCACTCCACTCTTTCCTGACCTCCAACAACTTTCATGAAACAATCACACCTTATTTAAAACCTAGACACACTCCAAAAGTCCGTTCTGGGTTTTCTTCCCAACGACTGTCTCGTTGTTTGTTTGATTTCTCTCTCTCGACACCCATGGACATCATGAGCTTCTCCACCCAATTTGATCACAACACCCACCTGCCACCCGGCTTCCGCTTCCACCCCACCGATGAGGAGCTCATCACCTACTACCTCCTCAAGAAGGTCCTTGACAGCAGCTTCACCGGCCGTGCCATTGCTGAAGTCGACCTCAACAAGTGTGAGCCTTGGGAGCTCCCTGGTAATTAATCAACTACTTAACTCCACCTCATGCTAATTAATCACATTATTTCATGTACATAACTTGAAATAATTGATTTCTAAATTTGGGTTTTAGTTGTAGTTAGTTTCTAAGTGTTCGGGTTGGATTATAACAATTTTTCTTGTACATAACTTGAAATGAATTAATTTATAAATGTTGGGTGTTGATTATAATTAGTATTTAAGCGTTGGTTTTGAATAAATTTGCAGACAAGGCAAAGATGGGGGAGAAAGAGTGGTACTTTTTCAGCCTGCGTGACCGGAAATACCCGACGGGGCTCCGAACCAACAGGGCAACTGAAGCCGGGTACTGGAAAGCCACCGGAAAGGACAGGGAGATTTACAGCTCCAAGACTTGTGCGCTCGTTGGGATGAAGAAGACTTTGGTTTTTTACCGCGGTAGAGCTCCCAAGGGTGAAAAATCCAACTGGGTCATGCATGAGTACCGTCTTGAAGGCAAATTTGCCTACCACTATCTCTCCCGGAGCTCCAAGGTCCTCTCTCTCTCTCCCCCTAAAGTTATATTGGAAATTTTGACGCTCATGCATGTCTAAGCTACATATTAAAATGTAAAGTTTTGATTTTTAGTAGTACTACATCATTTACAGCTAGGGTTAGGTAAATTAGTTGGTACATTGGGGGTTGCTAGCTAGGGTTAGGTAAATGTAACCTTCTATGCAGATCATACTAATGTTAATTAATGGCTTTCACTGGTAGAGGATGTCTCAGTTGGTCCTCCGTATATCCTCTTCCATGCTATCTTGTATCACGGCACATACACCTGAAACTTGAATATTTTGAGCATAAATAAGAATTCCGGAGCAAGATCTTGTAGCTCAGTTATCAAAATAGGTCACATTGTTAATTCTGCTATAATTTCTATGAGGTCTCCTCGTTCGCTGCCATTTCGGTTTTTTTGTTAGGCATTAATTACGTTAGGGTTTTAATTATGCATATAGAAACGTCACCACCTACCCACATGACTAATTTCTCAAAAAGCTGACTGGTTTTTTCACCGATTTCGCTTATGGCATTGATTCAATACACGTGCAGGACGAGTGGGTCATTTCCCGGGTTTTCCAGAAGAGCAGCGGATCAGCCGCTACCGGACCCGGATCCAAAAAGACTCGGATGGGCAACGGCTCCACCAGCAGCGTCTCTCTCTGCCCAGAACCCAGCTCCCCCTCCTCCGTTTCTCTCCCGCCCCTCCTCGACTCCTCCCCTTACCAACCCGTCTCTGCCGCCGGCGACGGCTGCTCTTACGACAGTCCAATCCCCATGGAGCACGTGTCCTGTTTCTCCACCAACCCTAGTAACAATGGCTTCAACCTCCCAGCCTCGTGCTTCGACCTGGCTCACCCTCCTCCGCCCCAGCCGCCGAACTTTGGCGGCGTCTCGGCCTTCCCGAGCCTCCGGTCTCTGCAGGAGAATCTCCAGCTGCCACTCTTCTTCTCCCCAATGCCGGCTCATCCTCCTGTCCACGTTGGCAGCTCTGTCGCTGGCGGCGGATCCTCCGTCGATTTCACCGGGAACTGGCCTCCGGTATCCGAGGAAGTCAGGGCAGTTGGCCCCACGGAGCTTGATTGCATGTGGAATTACTTCAAGACCGAGTGTCTTTGAAAATCATGGAGGCTTCCACACGTGCGGGGGTGTTTCAGACTTTTTATTCGAAAACGCCCGATTCACTTCGTAGTAGCAGGGCTAGTTTCGGTATTTCAGTTGTGACGTTATCAGTAGTTTATGTTTGTTTTATGTTTGGCCTGTGATTATATGACTGCATGAGACTATGACCGACTCTGGTGTGTTTTATTACCTAAGTAATCTAATGGTGAATTTAGTAAGTGATTATTTGCTGCTGAAGAATCTATGGTAGCCAAGAAAATATAGACGAACACGAATTTTAAGTAGCGGGGATTGAAATTACATGAAGAGTTGGTGATCGGATTATAACTCTTTTAGATTGATAACTCTTTTAGATTGATTCCGCGGTGATGTTTTGTTACCGAAGTAGTTAGTTTGAAGGTGAACTTTGTAAGTGCTGATTACAAATGGAGGTATATGTGTTTGTGGTTATTGGTTGGAACAGTGACGGTGAAACTGATTCACCTGTCTTCCACCCAAAAAAAAAAAAAAAAAATTGATTCACCTGCATCTTGCATTATTAGATTATCTGCTTAATATTAATTATTAAGATAAGATATTCTGATGCGGATTGCAGTGAGTAGCTTTTTCTGAAGATAGTCTGGGTTTTGCTTTAAATGGTAATTGCACGTATGCTTTATTCCCCTTTTCTCGGTTGTGATGATGTTTGATTTGTCGTTGGGATGTTATTAAGACCTGGTTTGGTACTGAGGTGATTTTGAAAAAAGCTGCTATCAAAAAAAGTTGGGAGCTGTTTTTGTGTTTGGTAAACACTCAGCTTCAGCTTTTTTTCACAGTTTTGGGTGAAAAAAAAGCCAAAAACAAGAAGCTGCAAAACCCAGCTTTGAAAAACCGGCTTTTTTTCACATCTGTTTTACATAAAAGTTTACCAAACACGCTAATCCTGCTTTTTTTTTTTCAAAAGCACTTTTACAAAAATGTTTACCAAACACTCTGCTGCTTTATTTCACAGCTGCTTATTCTCACAGCACAGCAGAAGCAACTTTTTTCAAAGCACAGCAATACCAAACCAACCCTAAGTTCGTTCGGGTGGGGATTGGGATTGGGATTGGAATCTAGCTCATTGATTTCTGCATTGGGTTTGCCAATTATTGTCTTGCAGATGCAGAGGCTTCAGTCTTGTTTGATAGCATTCTTGAACTTGAAAGAACATGAAGGGGATCATAACCCTTATATTTGATCGTTTTGCATTTGATTAGTGTGTATAGATAATTTGGACATTTTAACGGTTAGATTTTGATTTTATATTCTTGAACAAAAATTTAACGGTTAAAATATAATTTGGTTTTGCATTATAACTTTATTTTCTTAGGTAAAAAAAGAAATAAACACTATCTATATGTGAGGAAGTACTAGCTACATTCTCTTATGCTTTCTTTCGTTTCGGTTATTCTATAATAATGTAGTTGATTACTGGAATTATATATGTATCTAAAGATCATGTTTCTCAAAATTAACCAAGTTGAAAATCGTTATATCATTTTAAGAAGAATTGAATAAATTAAATATGAAATATGGTAATTACGAAATAGCTAAATGATTTTCAAACTGAGTGATTATTTTTTGGAATAGTCTTTGAATAATGACCTTGAAAAATTAATTGATATCAATTATTTTACAAACTAATTTTGTCGGCAAAGTGGAAATTTGACTTTTGGCGACAAACTAATTTTATCAGCAAAGTGAAAATTTCTAGTTGTGTGAAGAGATTCTTCTATACAGTCGGTCATATAGCCCATTCCTCATTTGGGTGGGATCACAAGTGATTCCATAATCTATATGATGTATGGCAGCATAGACACATGTCTTGACAATCGAGCTCCTGAATTTCTCACACCCCGGGTATGAGACTTGTTTTCTCAAATATTTGAGATCGTGGTCCAATTTAATGAGTTTAAAAACTTTCTAATTGAGATCCACAAATATAGGATATGCCACTTGTCTGTTTTAATTAATTATAATAGGGTTATGTTCCAAGTACGTTTGGGTTACCAAATAAGTTAAAGGAAAGGCAACTGGCATTCCGTCGTCGCCTTAGGGGCTATATGGAGTTGGCCAAACGACATTGTATCAAGGGACTAAAATTAGATTTTGATCTTACTCATGATTTTAATCTAAAAGTCATCTTTGCCATGGATTAAAATGAAGTTTTCTATATAATTTGTAAAAAAAGGGTTTATTTTCTGGAGGATTTTGCTGTTGTTGAACTGTCACAAACATCCACCATCTAAATCATTAATGGTGAGTTGAACTTGTTAGACATGGATGGTTACCTTTCACATTCGCACACAGACTCTATAGGGTAATACAGAGACCCTTGAGGCTTAAGGACACTGCTCTCCTAGTGGGTACTCCTCGCAGATATAGTCTTATAGAAGGGACAATTTAGTACTCTATCTGTTACATTACATTGTATTCTTTCTTTGTCAGCTTAGCTTATTAGCTTTGGGGGGGACCATGTATCTTCCTAGCCAACACATTATGCAACCTTGCATTTACTTTTCCTCCTTGTTTGGACGGCTGCATTACCCTACTCATAATTTTCATTGTTTCATTATCACACTGCTACTGGGAGAGGAGGGAATCAAACACAGTCTCGAATGCAGAAACAAATATCGTTAAAGCGTCTCCAGTTCTTAAGTCTAAATGAAGAGTTACCGCCACTTATACCACTCTTTGTCATTGTTCACGCTAAAACACCCGGCCGGGAGTTACTATAAAGGGGCAGTATTAGAGGTTTATGGTTCAGGTTATCTCTTGAAATGGGGAAGCCCTCATTTAGCTCATCCCTGTGGGAGCAAAAAAATCTTCTGCATCCCACGTGTGCGGAGAGGTAAATCCGCAAGTTACCACTACTTTTTATCATGATATGTCATTGTTCATGCTCCAATTAGAAAAACTAAAGGCGACCCCAAGCCAAGACAAACTAAAGGAACGTCTATGGTACACAACCAATTAGAGAAACTAGGGGGTGCAAGTAAAACACGTGGCCGGACTTGTTAAAATGGAGAACTCATTTAGCTCATCCAATTAGAGCGAAAAACGCTTGACATTTACATTTTCTTATTAAGACGTTTTTACCTGCTTGAGCTGAAAAGTCCCTTCCATTTCCATACCCTTAGTAATATAAAATAATCAAACAAAAAAAAGTTCATAAATGGGTATTCCGCTTCTGCAAAACTGCTGCCATCACTACGTGACTAAATTTGGTTTGGTGATTTCAGACTATTTGTACCAAGATGAATCCGATAGAAAAAAAAAAAAAAAAGATTGTGTCTTCTAAAGAATCTGTTGCCAGTTGGTGTTTAAATTTGGAAATATTACAGCCCACAGATAATTGCCATTGTCCTTCAGAAACCTAAAACCTTGAAAAAAAATCCAAAACCAGATGCATGTTTTCAGTTTTACAAGTCACAAACAATCATCACCAACATCGTGTGACTCAGATGCAATCATGTACAAGCTGCTGTACGTTGATCTCCCTCCACGTGGAGGGAACCCAATGGTGGAAGTCCATAATGATGAAGTGTGGTCAGCGGTTTTTGGTACATTAAGGTTGAAATTGGAGGGGTATGATCTGTGCATGGGAAGGCAATGAGCAGTGTGAAATTTTCGGGTATGTGCTTTCTTTTGGGGGGGGAGGGGGGGGGCCGCTACTTACGTGGGACCATTGGAGGACACCATCGGAGGATTTGTTCATGGAAATAGCATGGCACGCGTTGTACCCTGTTTGGCTTTAGTTTTTATAATTTCCTTTGCAGTGGATTATTTTGTGATGGGATCAAGGTATGAAAGCAGGGTTTGAAGCCAAACAGAATGAAACCAAACAAGAAACAGCCAAACACTAAAAGCTAGGGTTTGGAATTTATGGAAGGAGAAGTGAATTATGAGTCTCTGTGTATTTTTGGTGTTTATATATATATCAAGGTCTTTTTTCTTATGCGTATGATTGCATCTCTGGTATTTCTTGGCTTATTATTCTTATCCTCTTACACATATGACATATTTGTAACAGTGATTTGATTGTACAAGTTGATATTGTGATTATCTTGACCTATCTAGGGTTAGGCGAAAATCATCCGAACGATCAAACCGGCCAAACCAAACCGATCCGAATGATGCATCAACGTGAAAAATTCGTTATTACTTATTTGATTTATGGTTCAGTTTTATATACAGAATGTTTGCTTATTTACTTATGAAGGCAAATGATTATGTATAACTTGGATATCGAATAAAATTAGATTTTTTTTTTTTGTAACCAGCTCGCATAGCTTCAAAATAGCCCAAAGCAATTGTCCTACCCAGAAGCCCGGAATTAATAAATTTGTGATGAAAGCAGCCCGCATTTTCGACCCTAAAGGAATTTAAAATTAAACAAGTAAGGGAATTAGGACTCCTTTACTACATTTTATTCTTGTCTTGGCCTATAATACAATGATACGGTTTATATTTATGGATAGACTATTTGGGCTACGTCACATAGTAAACTAACTATAATAATTTGACATTAAACTTACAGTGAACTAGAGACGAACCACAAACATAAAGAAGTACAACTAAATTGTTATCTTGGTATAATGGTGGGCAAAAGGCCCAATGGAAACAAAAGTATAACATGAGGACTGCAATCCCCCCCATGGGCCTAGACACCCAAAACATCCTCCATTAGTCGCACAAACTAGCGCCAAGCTCATGCAATATTCAAAAAAGAAAACGAAATTTGTGAAATTTATTGACCTTTTATTACAAACAAACTCTAGTTCAATCGATATTTTAGAAGAATAACCCTTAAATAACAATAAAAAAAGTGAGCGAAGGTTTGGAACTTCCAACTCGAGTTGGAACTACTGCAAATGCATTTTTTTGGAGCCACCGACTTTGCTTTTATATATGAATGACCCCGATGACCAAAGTGAACCGCCTGATACAGTACCGAATCTGCATGGGAAGGAGGGTTAATTTGCTCATCAACGTGTTGTGAAATATCTCTTGTATGGTTGTCTTTGGGCCCAGTCCACAATATCTCAGACTGAAACGTTTTAATGTTAATTTCGTAGTCTCCTCTCACTCTCTCCTCTCTCGCTCTCTGTGAGACGCGCACAGCGTTTCAGTGCGACTGCTAGTGCTGTAAGTTATGGAGGAGTACTCGGTGGACGACCCAACTCAGCTACTCGAAGCTGCTTCCGATTTCGCAAGCTATCCCGGTAAGCACTAAACCGCTGACACTCGCTTTCCTTCCAGTTTTTCTAAGCTATTTTTTTTAACAAATATCACTGTGTTTTGCAGGTTTTCAAAACGACGCATCAGCTAAGGAATTTCTCGATCGCTTCCCTCTTCCCGTCATTCTCAAGTAACCCCTTTTTTCTGCTTATACCCATAACTTGTTTTCCAAGTTTTTGTGCTCGACTGCAGTTTTCTTTCGTTTTCGTATCGGTTTTTAGTAATGGGAATGTGTGCATGTCAACTGTTTGATGAAAGTCTCCACTGACATTGTTAATGGAAGTTGAACTTGGTGTGAATTGATTTTGTTTTGTTTCTCGCTTGCAGTGCTTTGCAAACCAAAGTTGATGTGCCCGGTCTGGAAAGCGCGTTGGTTGCTGTCTTGGAAAGAGTGTTCAAGACGAAATATGGGGCTTCTCTCATCCCCCAGTTCATGGTATGCCCTTCATTTGTTGTCCTAACTGATTGCATTTTGCTGATGACTGTATTTGTGTTCTTGTGAAAAATGAAAGAAGGGTTGTCCTGAATTTGGTTAGAATTCAGGTAGTCTTTCTTTGATAAAACTTTAAAGCTTTTCGTATTATCATGTATTGGAATGCCATAGGGGAAGCTCTTTCAATGAACATGTTGCTCTGGTTCAATCAAATGAAAGATGTTATACCATAGCATAAAGTATAAAGTATAAACCCAATTAACTTTCAGAAATAAAGCCACTTTGGTACGTATTATGTGTCTATCTAGATTCATAAACATTTATTTTTTCTCTTGTTCAGCCATTTATACAAGTTGGTGTGATGGCAGAGTCGCAAGAAGTCAAATCTTTAGCTTGTAAAACGGTATGTATAAAAACTGCTTATGCATCTTTTGCTTTGATTTGAGATTGTTGAGTAGTTTTGTTCCTAATTAGAGAATTTATCTGTTTGTTTTGTACTATTTAATTTGTTTTTTGGGGGAGTTGAAAAACTTATGCAAGTAACAGACGAATCTATTGCCTAGTTTAATCTGGTGTCATGAGAACAATCTTCAGGTTTCTTGCCTTCTCAAGAATTTGAATGAAGATTCCATTTCTGCAACACGCCTTATACTTGACCACAATATATATCCTCTTTTGTTTGATTGCCTCATTCATGGGTAAGGTTCAAATTTTAAGTTGAACACCGATACTTGGATTTTTAATTATTTTCTAGTTTTTATTTTTGCCTTTATGTTTGGAGTTCATGATAATGTTTTTCTTCTGGTGTTTAGCAATGAAAAAGTTGCAACTGTAGCAATGGATGCAATAGCGAGGATAAGCTGGTTCTCCTGAAGGCATAGTATGGACATCATATTTAGTGCTATACTCTGAGTTTAAATTTTGATCTCCTCAAATGTTGTTTTAATGAATACCTCCTTTGTGATAGCTTATTAAAATCTCTTACTGAAATCTCTTACTGTCAATATGTAGGATATTGTTTTCCCAGCTAATAATAAAGAGGCTACACATCTTGGAGCTCTAGCAGACCAATGCTCTTCAGTGGTAGGGTGGTTGCTACTTTTGTGATTTATAAATGTACAGTTAAACTTTCCTGAAATTTGGCCTTTATTTTAGTGAAAGAACTGTAAAAGAAAACTAGTTATCAACTGTGCCGGTCTTTCGCATTTTTCTGTTACACAACACTGTAGTGATACTTGACTAATTTGTGTTGTTGACATGTGCATCAGAGGCATGTCATTAAAGTGGTTGTAAGAAAGGGATAGTTTAATCCATTTGTATAGATGTACCAATGTTAGACAGTCGAATGAAAAGTTTTTCTATGCATTTACAATCTCCGTGCAAACTTCCAAGTATCATGTATGCTACTGTGCTGTCTCTGATTCTAGATTATTTGCTGATTTTCTCTGCTTAGTTTAAAAAAAAAAAATCATATTAATGTTTTGCAGGGACGGGTCCGGGTTCTGGCTTTGATGGTGAAGCTATTCTCTGTCTCCGCCAATGTGGCATCAGTAGTTCAAAAGTCAAATCTACTTGGACTTTTGAGGCAGAAATCAACAACACAAATGATACCCTTTCAACCTTGATCATTTTGGAGCTTTTGTACGAGGTTGGCCATTGATCATCTGCACACTGCTCTCTCTCTCTCTCTCACGCACAATCTGCATAACTATCTATTTTCCAGCTCTCCATATTAGCTCCTTTGGTGCTCCATTTCGTGCCATATACTGATCATAATTTACTACAAGCTCTGTATTAAAACTCAAAAATCAGATCTGCAGAATAACTAAGCATACATAAATTGTATGAAGATGAAAAATCAGGTCCACTACTTTGTTCCAGGACCAATGTTTAGTACACAATGCTTAAGAGAAATGTGGCCCATAATTTGTATGTATTATCTCCAAGTGAATGGCATCCATCTGAAGTTCTCTCATTTGTTTTCTTTTACAATCCAATCAATAGAGAATTCCAAATTTCTGGTATTGTTTTCTTTTGATACTCTTTTCCTTGCTTAAAAACCTTATATTGAGATGTTCTTGTGTATGTGGCAAATGATAAAGTTGACAGAGATTGAGCATGGTAGAGAGTTTTTGTCTGCAAGCACCCTTCTGCAACTGCTTAGTTCTATAATCAGGTGTTTAAACAACATTTTTTGTTATCTGTTTCGTTTTGGATACTCTACATCGCCTAAAGTCTTATAGAAATATGGTTGTATAACTTTTGTAGCAACAAATCAATGGAGTCAATTTTAAGAACAAGGGCAATGATGATTAGTGGAAGAATTCTGTCCAAGGAGAATTACATACTTGCAGATGAATTGAGTAGGTCTTACAGACTTGGAAACTTGTATATGATGAATAATATCTACTTGCATCATTCAGAGTATTATAAAGCCGTTGTTTTTACCTTTCATCCTGCATTTAGAAGCCCTGTAGTCTAGTGCCTGCATTATTTTTGGCTCATTTGGTAGCTTTTTTTACCTGTATTTCGAGGACAGATATCATGCTTAATTTTAGTGCAGCACTGCTGTTGAGGCACTTGTCATCCCATTTTCGGACCCAGAGAAAAAAGAAGAAAATAGTCTTCTTTAGTGGACACCCTTAATTTGTTTTTGGTTTTTGGCTAGCTTGCTGCTTGCATTTATCCAAAGAATCAAAGCTACCTCCAAATCTCCAGTTGCACTTGGACCCCAATTTTCCCATTAGGTTTGAAAGAGAGCGCTAACATAATATCTTGGACCACTCAAATCACTTAGTATTCCTGCATATAGCATTATATATATAGCTTCTGTCACATGCTATTTATTCTCTTTTGGGGACGGTCTTAAATTATTTCAAAAGGTAGACTTTGAGATTTGTTACTTCAAAAAAAATATATAATTGCTTTACCAAAGATCATAAAAATGAAAAAGCGGTCATGAATTGATTTTGATACTAATATTGATTATGCAGACTTAAAAACTGTATTATCAGCCATAGACAGGATACTTAGTTCATCCGAAACTCAAGAAATAGATGAATGTGAATCTGCTCTTGAAGCACTTGGTCAAATAGGGTCATGTAAGTATGCCAGTGCCTTCACTAGGCTTGAGAAAGGGTTTTCATAGCGTGAAACATATCTACCATCATCAAGAAATTAATATTTACAACCTGGTTTTTTGGGATGATCTTAGCAACTCAAGGAGCGCAGCGTTTATTGTCAAGTTCACCACCAGTTGCAAGACATGTTATCTATGCAGCCTTTGATAGACATGGACATGGTAAACAACTGGTTAGTGGATCTAGTCTTTTAGCTTTATGGCTTTAAGTTCTCCAGCCTTTTTTTTTAATACAATTTTTTATGTTCCTTATCATGTTTTAATTTGCCAATTTAATTGAATCTGAAGCCTCTCCTGTATCAAGGGGTGTGTGTGTGCGTGCGCGCGCGCACATACTCTTTAGTAAGTAGCTAACTCTGAACTATAAGATCCAAGATTAAAATGCTGTCACAGTTCACAGTAAGGATTAGAACACTCATTACCTTGGTCGTGGAAAGAGATATAGTGATATAAGATAATCTTCTTATTTTAACTCCCTATTTTAGGTACTAACTAGTCTCCGTCTGTCTATTTGTTAAAAAAGTACATGCAAGGAATACAGAAATAGGAGTAGAAAAACTAGGCATTGCAAGGACATCATGTTTTGCATGGTCATGGTATACACCTTTCCAAAAGGTAAAGGAAGCTGATGACAAATGAAGAGTATGCTATACTACAATTTCCTATTTTTTGAACTATTGAGTATGCTGTATTACAATGTCCTTGCTTCTAAATCCACTAACTGTTGCAGCCAACTAGATACACCTTCCATGCCAAATAACATGGATGGGGTTACGTGATAAATATGGTCTGACAATTAACTTTGACAATGAACTTGTAAATGAAATTTTTTTAATAGATTCTGAGCCGTGAGTATTCTTCTCCCAGTAGTAGAAGCTTGTCATCTATAATCAAACTGGGGATAGTTGAGCTTTCGAGGTGTGGGAGTGTTTTTAATTTTTTATAAAGAAACTTATTAGGGATTAATAATGCCATAGTAAAAAGTTAATCGATTTGAATAATCAAATAGCTTTTGGTAATCTGAATGCTAGGCAGTCTCTTATGATGCGTTTTCTAGAATCTCTGACATTTGTTTGACCGGAGGAGGCTTCTAAGTCAGAGACACTAATTGCCACATAACTTGTTGACTATGTTCACTTGATATAGTATCCTTACAAGCCTTGTTCCATTGTCCCTAGGAGCCATCACACCCTTATTTAAATGACTTTTGTGATCCAGCCCATCTTAGTTGCCATATCACGTAAGAGGGATAACAGATTATTACACGTACCTTCCTTTGGGAGAGAGATTACAATGCCTGCTATAACGTACGTAAACATAGATGATCTTATGTGTTGACCCCACCTAAGAACTACATTCATGGATCCCAAAGCAACTTTATTCTTTGATTGCATCCATTGGAATATTGGTTTTGCCAATAAAATGATGAATAGTTTGGATTCTGACCATGGGATATAAGATGTTTCCTAGTAATTGATTGACAACTGTGTTTGTGATCTGTCCAAGATTCCAAATACTTGTTGATGATAAAAAAGATAGTATCTGTTGTAGTTTACATTCAAATTCTTACTTCAATGGTTCTTGATGAAAAGACAGGCTGCCTTACATGCCCTTGGAAACATTTCCGGGGAAACTCGATCTGCAAACAGCATGATACTGACTAGTGATGCAGAAGAAAGCCTTCGACGCTTGATTTATGAAACAGCATCTAAGAGTTCAAAGCTGACACCATCTGTGAGCAGCTTTTTCCTTCTTAATTTTATTGTTTCATAAGCCTCCAAATATTTTGCACGTGGGTGCAGGTTGCCTGCCTGAATTTTCATCCTTTGGCATGAGTCCAACAATTTCTGTTACAAATCATTTGTTTTTCAGCGTGCTTGTCATTCTTCATTTAAGTCTTTAAAATGTGTGGAAGTTTTACTTAGTTGTTGATGCAATTGGCAGGGTCTTTTCCTATCAGTTCTTAAACAGGATTCGGACATTCGTTTAGCAGTAAGACTTCTAATAAAATCTTGAATTGTGGATTTTTTGGTGGTGTGACTGTTGAATACTTTTTTGGACCTGTATATAATTGAAAGTTTGCAGTTTATGTACCATGCGAATTATTTTCTCCGTTTAGTTTGGTTTTGCCCCTTAGATGTGTTATATTTTTCCATCTGCAAATATGATACTTGAATAGACTCAATACATGTTTTTATGGTGTTCGTTGCTGTAATTACTAATTGCTTTGGAAACACGCTTCCTTTTATATTGTGAATCACCTTTGTAAGTGTTCGTTTGTCGCTGACCAAAGCGCTATGCTCTGATCCTGTGGTAAAGAACAATGTGTAAAGTAAATTATAATTGAAAGTTTGATGATACTTCTGTAGGCATATAGGAGAAATTAAGATATAAGAATTCATATTGTTACTACATCTGATACAGCATCTGATGCTAATACTTGTAATTGTATATATTTCTGGTATTTGCTATTTATGGTGGTTATTAAATGTGGATAATTCAGGGATATAGAATGCTGTCTGGATTGGTGGCTCGCCCATGGTGCCTGATGGAGATTTGCTCAAAGCAGGAGATAATAAACATAGTGACTCATCCAATTACTGAAACCACTAAACTAGGTCTGTTTCATTTTTCTCTGTAATCATTCAATTTATTACGTTGCAAGTTTATAAATATACGGAGTTAACTTCATGGAATTGGTTTATACTTTTCTTACAATTTATAACAGTTATTCTTTCCAGTGGTACCCTAACTACATGATACATTCTTTCAGTGCTCAATTTTGTGTATTTTAATGATAAAACCAATACTTATTATCTTGCATGGGCTAATACGTTATCTAGGATTGGTTCTCAAATGAATTTCTAATAGTCCATTTGACTAGAGACTAGAGAGTGAATAGACAAAAGGCGTTATATAGAACCATCGCATGACCTTTGTTACAACGTTCTCTCTGATTTACTCCTGCTATATGATAACGCTAAATTATTTGCTTTTCCCTCTAAATTGAAGTTTGGTTGCACATTTCAGAATTTGGCAAACCCTTAATATGCTTTCCTCTGGTTTCTGAATTTTTTTCTTGGACTCGGACAAATGACTACTCTCATTTCTTATTTCGGGTTCTGAATTTTCAACTGGCTTTAATTATTTGAATCTTATCTATTTTCATGTGAATGAAAATTACTGTTCAGCTATGGAAGCCAGATATAATTGCTGCAAGGCAATCCACACCGCTTTTAACATGTCAAGTAAACTTGCCAGCGACCAATCTCCTTCTGGGATAGCGGCGAAGGTTAGTTCTATTGTACATAACCTTCCTTCATTTTTATTTTTCTTAGAGTGGGAGAGTTTTGGGGGATCCTTGATTACATCACGGAATAATTAAAACGGTTGGACCTAAGCGTACACGCTGGTGTACAGATCATTTCTTTAATTTTGTTCGATCCATACACACTAGTCGATAGTCACTCTGTTGCCATCATATATGTATTTGTGTGAATTGTCTGGTCTATGTGGTGTGTGTGTGTGTGAGTTGAAAACCATTGAAGGGAAAAGTTGTGGGACAAAAAACTGAAAATGTTAACCTATTGGTTAATGTAAGAAAATAAAATGTTTTATCTTTACACCCTCGCAAAGCGGGGAGCCTTGTTGGCTTGAGGTCATCCTTTTAGGTTGACTTCACTATTTTGTCTTAAACAAAGGAATCAATCGTAAATGCTTATGTTACCATCTTACGTGTCTTCTCTTGTTCATTCCTTTCTGTGTGCAGTTGCACGACGCTGTTAAAATGGGTCCGTACCTTGCTAGGAAGCACCTTGAAGCTCAGCCGGTGGTGGTGACGGAGGACCGATTCTAGAGTAACACCAGCCACCGTGTTCAGCTTATGAGTTTACTATTCCCACATGTTGCATACAAAAGTTTGTTCAGATTAACGGTGGAAGTATGTTTAGCTGTGAATTCAGAACTTAAATACGTAAAGCTAGAGCAGAATTTGGAATTCCATATAGCATCAAAGAGAATTCTCTCAAGTTTCTCAACTAATTCCAGTTTAAAGGTAGATAAATCATTTGTAATGAAACTAGCGCACAACAAGGGATATAAATTTCGTTTATCTAGAACTCACGAGCAACTTCCCAGTGGGTCATCCATTATGGGATTGCTCTAGCCCCCTTCTCGCTTAACTTCGGAGTTCCTATGGAACCCGAAGCCAGTGAGCTCCCAAAAGGCCTCGTGCTAGGTAAGGATGAGAATATACATTTAAGGATCACTCCCCTGGGCGATGTGGGATGTCACAATCCATCCCCCTTAGGGGCCCGACGTCCTCGTCGGCACATTTCCGACCAGGGATTGGCTCTGATACCAATTTGTCACATCCCGGCCCGGGGCTGACCACTTCCCGGGCCCGCTCCACCACCGTAGCACGATATTGTCCGCTTTGGGCTTACCATTCCCTCACGGTTTTGTTTTTGGGAACTCACGAGCAACTTCCCACTGGATCACCCATCATGGGATTGCTCTAGCTCCCTTCTCGCTTAACTTCGGAGTTCCTATGGAATCCGAAGCTAGTGAGCTCCCAAAAGACCTCATGCTAGGTAGGGATGAGAATATACATTTAACAAATATATCGTTATCATTGAAAATATCCATTAAACGTATAAAATTGTGGAAGCATCCTAATCTAATCAACAAAAAATTACGTTAGAAAGTTTTACAACTTCAAAATCAGCAAATGTTTATAAATAAAAAATAATAATAATAAAATAAAAATTTAAAAATTATGATATAAAATTATGAGGGGCAGAAGAGTAATTCCATACACTCAACTCCGCCGCAGGTCAAGATAGGAATTTCATATCCGCAGTGGATAAAATTCAGAGGAAGAGGAAGCACCATCTCTGATTCTCTTCTACACTCTACAGACGGAGCTTCAAACAATTTCAGAGAGCGAGAGAGATGTCAGCTGGAATTCATTGCCTATCTCCATGCCTATCCATCCCTTCCAGATTCAGCAAGCTTTCACTCAATGGCCCTTCTACTTCCTCTGCCACTACTCATTCCACAACTTCCCTCAGTTTCTCTGCTACCCTTTCTCCCAATTTCTTCTCCAAAGGTAATCAAATCTCTCTCTCTCTCTCTCTCTTGAATTTACTGCATTTTTCTTCTTGGAGTTTTGAAAATTTTGAAACTTTTCTTATTTCAAATATTGGGTTTTGGAACCCAGCTGTAAAAATCCCAGTCGTGTTATTGGGTGGAAGATTTTTCCATTTTTGGTGTAAAATTTTTGTTTTTTGTATCATGTCATCGATTTATCAGTAACCATACAGAGCACAATGTTAAATCAAAAGAGAAAAACTGCATCTTTCTCTTGGCTATTTTCAGGGTATCTGGCTGTGAGTCCACTTCAGAGGCCGGTTCGACATTCCATTGTTTGTGAGGTTACCACGAAGAAGCCCGACTCTGCTGTGAAGAGAGCTCGGCAGGCCGAAAAGAGGAGGATTTACAACAAATCCCGCAAATCCGAAATCAAAACCCGGATGAAGAAGGTATTTCTCTTTTAGGCAAGCTAATTTTATTTTAACCGAGGGGTTTTGCTTCTTTCGGTTTGCATTGTATGTAAAAAATAAGTTTATTCTGATTGTTTTCGGATTGAAGAAAGTAGTCGTCTTGCATTGTTTGGGTTTTGTTTCTTGTGACCATGTTTGATGCCTTGGATTCTCATCTGAATTGAGGAACCATATCAGTGTCTAAATTGCTCTCATAATCGAGGTTAGCAACCAAATTCTGCATCGGGTTTCATTATTTGGTTGGCTAAATTCTACTGGTTCTAAGTTGAGGACATTTTACTGCAGAAATGGATGGTTCATGGATTGCACTGCAATATTAATAGTAACACCTTTACTTCTCGATCTACATGTTTGTCTTTAAGAGCATCTTTTTATGCGATCGTCAGACAATTGTACGAAGATAAAGTATTGGATTGGTGTGGGTGCAAGTTGTGCTGGAGAAATTATTTTGCTTAGTGCTTTGGAGCATCATCTTTTAAAAAACATATGGTAAAGTTAGAGAAAAATGTTAGTTATGTGCTTATATACTGTAAGGATGCTTGGGCTGGTATATATATTTCCACATATTGTATTGGTAGCCACAAACATTTGTGTTTTATCCGGCAGTGTGATGCTATTTTTATCCCAACGGGTTCTGAAGTGATCTCTGTTTCTGTTATTAAAACCGTGTAGTTTCCTAATTATTTTTTCTTTTGGCTGGAAAGTAATGGAGAAGATAAAATTTGAAAGACACTGTTGGCGTGTTTACCTGCTATTGATTAATTCTTGGCTACCTTTACCAGGTTTTGGAAGCTCTGGATGGGTTGAAGAAGAAGCCAGATGCTGCACCCGAAGAGGTCCTTTCTATTGAGAAGCTCATTGGAGAGGCATACTCCATCATTGACAAAGCAGTTAAGGTGGGAACTCTGCACAGGAATACTGGAGCACGGAGAAAGTCTCGACTGGCTAGAAGAAAGAAGGCTGTTGAGATCCACCACGGCTGGTACACCCCAACTACAGAGACTGCTAGTGCCTGATAAAACTCCTTTGTTGGGTCAGTCGTTTACTATTTTGCCGTTGTAATGTGTAGCATTTGTCCTTTGAATGTATGCATCTCTCCTTTGTATGGTACATGATTAACCGTATTCATTTTTCTTCTAGTTCGCCAAATTTGTATACTTACTGTCAAAAATGCGGATGTGCCGAATAGATTTTGGGTTTGAGTTATCTACAAGACTCCAGACTGTTGTTTAAGTTACTCTCTGGCTCATGAAAAATATGTTTCCCAATGAATGGGAAAATGCTATGGAAGAGTTCAGCTAGAAAGGATGGGTCGGGAGTGTGTGATTGTGCGGTAATGCCGATATTTGGCTTGCCGTTTTCTACTAGAGGTTAGCCATGTTCAACTCTGTGTAGGATTTCAGTGAGACACTAATGCCGATTTTGTAGACCGAGTCAACAAATGGGAGAGGTTTTTCTTGGTTAAGAACAAAGAAGAGATGTTCCATGTTGGGGTGGAAGGCAATCGACACACCCTACACAAATAGCTCCCGTGTCCCTGGTTTCTGCCTCTATCAAGCGACGACAGCCCCCACCTTCCCCTACTACGCTTTCCCAGGAACTATGCCTCCACCAGTTGGAGAGAACTCGATCGATCTATTTCTGTTTCGTAGGTTTGCCAGTAGCTACCTGAAACTTTACTCATAAATTCCCTCGTCCACAAGAGATTCAGGTGTATCAACTAATTGGTCAGCAATTTGATAATCTCCCTCAAAAATCCTGCACTTTTTTAACTACTTCCATAACACGTGACCATGCGCTTGGTTCCTACACGTTTAAACAAGATTCAACTCGATTAGTGGTCTACGTCGAACTAACAATATAACATATCAGACTCTCTACTAAAGATATAATTTCCCCAACATACATAAAGTTGCAAATTACGGATTGATTGGTAGGTTTGAAATTTCTGAAAGTACGAGCCGTGACGATCCTTCTCCTCCTCCTCGTTGGATTTCAGTGAGTGGTGATATGAATTAATTTCGGTTTCCTTGGAGTTCAAGGAAGGGACTCCATGTCCAGATCCAAAAGATTTTAAGCCAAAATATTGCCTCCATTTCTACAAGTATATATTAGTTAAGCACAGTTAATTATGTGTCTGTGTTAACATCTAATTACATATTAGATAATGACCTGAGGTACTTACCAAGTGATTCCTTCCAGCCAATTTCCTTGGTTTGTGAAGTAATTAAAATGACCAGGTCTCTTCTACGAAGGCTATATACAGTCACCAATATCTTCGTCCCATAACGGCCACAGCAACAATGGGTTAAGCAAAGAGATTGAATAAATACGGTTTTACGACTAGCGATTAGGCTTACCTTTCTCGGCCTTTTGGCTAAGATCAAGTGTAGTATCTGTTCTTATCAGTTTAATATTTGATATGTGAGTCAATGAGTCACACGATATTAAATTAATTTCTTTAAGGAAGGGAGAGAGTTCACTATTGTAGCTTGCTATTGGAGCTCTCGAGTGTCGCCCAAGTGCTGCACTACTGCTCGGGCTGGCGCACCCCACCAAAACTAGTTAAATCTTTTACGGTTTTATGCCACTACTTTCTAACATGCCAAGCATACTTCAGCCTCAAGTAAAACAAGGTCTTCATCAAACTCGCGATAATGAATATCAGATCGTAAATTCAAACCCTTCTGTATATTCATGTTAAGAAAAGTTTTAAGATGCCGTCCAATATTGTTGATTAGCATCAATTACCTAATGTCGACGTCAGACGTCAGATTAAGCACACCTTAAATTCGTGTGTTAGTAGGGCACATTTCACCCCAACATGTGGGTGGAAAATCACTAGTTCATAATCTTGAGACGAACTCCAAAGACGTACCTCACCTTAACGTGCTCCTTAACTCAATTCCGATCATCCGACAATCACTTTTTTGCATTAGAATAAAATGAACAATCCAAGGATTAGAAGAGAAGAGGAGGGGGTTATTTGTTGTCACCACGACGGGTAGGTGGATACGGATGCTGGGTTCTTTGAGTTCTCCTTCAGTTTTGTGTTTCATATTAAAGAAAGATACATCTAAGTTATTTTAGGAATCTGGGCGGGTGAGAAAATAGCATTTTCATTTTTTAACTTTTAGCGATAGGTGGGAATATAAGGTGGCGTTGGAAATAGAACTAGTGAATGGCATCAGCAGCACTCCAATTTAATTCGACAATCTTATTAGGGTTTTGGTGTATTTTTGCTTATGTTATAACTGAAACAAAAGACTTTGAATGGCACGGTCCTAATGAATTTTGAGCAATTTTTGTTTTTATTTTTAATGATTGTGGAAGTGGAAGTAACATGGGTATTAACAATGAAAGGCACCCTTCGAATAGCATGCAATTTAGCCTCCTTTTGTCAACTTGCAATTCTTTCAGTCCCACACCGGCCACAGCAAGAAAGCTCAAAAGAGAAGATACAAAATAAATAGGGTCTTACAACACAATATCAAGCATACCTTTCTCGGCCTTTTGGCTAAGATCAAGTGTAGTATCTGTTCTTATCAGTTTAATATCTGATACGTGAACCAATGGTTCACACGATATTAAATTAATTTTTTTAGGGAGAGAGTCCGTTACATTAGCTTGCTAATGGGACTCTTGAGTGTCGTCCAAGCGTTGCACTATTGCTTGGGCTGGCGCATCCCACCAAATATAGTTTCAACCCTTAACATCTTTAAGCCTTGTTCAATTTCTAATTCAACTTTAAGTGATTCTACAGAATTTCTGTTTCATACAATTTCAAACTAACTCCTGAAAGTCAAAACCAAAAACTATGTAAGCGTAAGGGGGACCAAATACCTGTAACAGAGGAGGAAGAGCTTTGACAAGACGGATTCAACCTCTGAATCTGCTTCCGCTGTCGTGGGGTAAAACTATTTGTGTCGGGTGTGGGAGTGCTCCTAACATGATAGAAGTAATGCTGCAAAGGCCCTATGGAGTAAGGGGATTAGGAAGTCTCCGATTCAGTAGGAGAGAGAGGAAAAGCATGGTTTACATCTCTATAACCGTAAGAATTTCGACAATTTACAGGCTCATGATTTCTCAACAGCAATAACAGTCAGAATTTCGACAATTAATAGCCTTGATCGAATCTTTGATTGCTCAACAGCAAAACCATTAACTTATAATTCTAATACATTACATATAGAACTAGAGTTTTGATCATATATAGACTAGAGACTGCGACTGATGATAGCCAGCGCTTTGTTTAATCTGCACATAGGCAGCGCAGATAGGCAGACTCAAGACTTCGACTCTTAACAGTCACGTTGACTTGACACTTGATAATGCTAGCAAGTTCCGAAAATCAGACACAGCCTTTAAACTGGAAATTATTGGACTTAATTTCTATGTGGAAGTTTCTCTACGGTTGCAACTTCAGTTCTAAAGCAACTTGTGAATGCCAAAGTAATTTAACAATATGCTTTTGCCCTGTCTCAAGTAATCTTTAATAATTCTCTTTCACTTCTACTCCAGTTTGTTCGTAGTGTTGCACCTGCACGTATGAATTTGGCAACTTTAACATTCATGGTCCCAACAATGCACATAATTCCATTTCCGTTTTCAAGAATTGTTCCACAAAGACACTAATGTCAAGTTCAACCTATAAAGAACACGAGAAAGTACTTCGCTGATTATTCAAAGGGGTGCATTTTTTAATTCAAGTAAACCAAAAACTAGAAACAAAGCTTTACCTTGCTCCCCTTTTTTCTCAAACTTCTGTACTCAAAGGCCATGTCAAACTGTCATTTTCCTCCGCTTGCTTTTCCACTTGTCCACCCTCCTTTTTGGACTGGACATTCATAGAATCCATCAATATTTCGGTCCTTGGCTCTGGTATCATCCCCTTTGAAGTCATCTCACGGAAATAGCGCAAAGTTTCCTTGATCCTTCTCTTATCATGGAACCCATGAATCATAATGGTATAAGATCGTCGGTCAGGTCCCAACCCATTTTTCTCCATCTCATCCCATGTATATCTCACTCTTTCCTGACAATCCCACTCCATATACAACTTCAACAGCAAATTGTATGTGTCACCAGTCATCTTGCATCCATTTTTCTGCAGCCTCTCCAGCAGGCCAGGAATTTCCTCTGGTTTCTTCGACGACTTAAGCAAGTAATTGAAAGTTACTTCATTGGGCAGACAACTACCCTTCCTCTGTTCCATTTCTTCCAAAAGCTCGTAAACCTTCTCCATACGCCGTATTTTGCATAGGTGCTTAATTAGTGAGTTGTATGTTGCTGCATTTGGGAGACATCCTCGGACATTCATTTCCTTAAATACATCCAAAGCATAAGGAATCCTCTTCTTGAAACAAAGGGCATCGATTATGCAATTGCATGTCACCACGTCTGGGTTGCAACCCTGATCCCACATTGCTTGAAATAACTTGAGTGCCGTACCCAACTTTCCCTTCTTGGTCAGTGCATTTATAAAAGTCCCATACGTAAACTGATCCGGCTTGCAATTAGACGCGATTATATCTTTCCAAAACCTTTTTGCCTCGCGTACATTCGCTCGTACACACCATCCATTAAGAATGATATTCCACGTCTTTATATCCTTCCCAAACTCTATCCCCTTCACGTTAAACAAAGTTTCTGCAGCTTCTACATGCTTATACCGGCATAACCACATCATAAGCTTCTGAAAAGCAACCAAATCAAGCTTGAGACCGAACTCTTTCCTCTTATAAAACACATCAATTGCTTCCTCGACCCTATGTGCAGCCGCATACCTATTGAGCAAAATCTCATACGTTCCTTCATTGATAAGTCCCTCTCTCTTGCGCATTTCGTCGAGCATTTGGTGGACTTCATCAAAAGCCCGCATTTTGCCAAGAATGTCAAGAATCTCATTGTAACAATCCGACCCGGGCAAATACCCACTTCCTCCTCCACCTTTACAAACCCAATTGAAGAACGCATACGCGGGTTTCCAGTCAGACCGATGCCTCCGCAGCACATCCAAAACCAAACAATCTGTCAGCACAAACCCACATCGGTCGAGCGCCCACTCAATCTCCTCGGCCGGCTTGTCCCTTCGAAACTTGAGGATGTTTTGAATTAATACAGCCGTTCGATCATCTGGGTCTTCCCCAAACCGCGCATTTTCTTCAGCATCTGCAACAGAGTGGACGAAAGTCTTATTCCTACCCAGAAAGTAAAATTGGGAATTCTTGGTGAAAGTTTCGGGCTTTGCGTTCCTTGGGCTCTGGCAGTTGTGAAATTTGGAAAGGTAAGAGAGGGCTTTGTGTGAAATCGGATTGTGGGAGTGATGGTTTCTGGGTTGGGTTTGGAATTTTAAATTGAAATTCCGTTGGATGTTGTTTTCCCGGGAAAAGGTTCTCAACGGTCGGAATTTGAAGGGCATGTTAGGTTTTCTAGTGTTGAGCGTGTTTGGGGTGGAAGAAAATCGTTTCCAATATTTATAAAGCCTTCCATTACGTACATATTTTTATTAGTATTTTGTTCACGCATAATTTTTTGTCTCTATTTAATATGAAATAAGATTATTGTTATTCCTACCTATTTTTAATGAATTTTTTAATACATAATAACAGGTAGGCACGAAGAGGTAACATGAGCCTTAGACTTGCATTTGGTTGTGAAAGAAACAGACAATACATAAGCAAAAAGACAAAGAATATGGATAGAAGAAATTTTGGATCAACAAAGTGTGGATGCCTTTTCCAATTAAAGAGTAACAAGCTAGCAATTGATGATAGTTAATGGAGTACATAATCAAACAGGAGCACAGCACTTGGAGAATCGTTTATTTGCTGGTAAATTATCGTCGGTGGGAAAATAGCATTTCAATTTTTTAGGAATAACAGTGGTTGGCGAAATATAATTTCAAATTTTCACTTTTTATGGTAGGTGGGAAATAAAACAATGAGTGGGTCTATAGCAACTCTCTAAAATAATGCTTATACCCATATGTAAAATAATGGTCTCTGCAGTCGATCATCACTACTGAGACTATCTGAAGCATCTTTGTCTACTCTCTTAGCGCAAAATCCTTGCAGAGCAACTAGACTGCTTTCTTAACAGCCCTCCTGAACTGGAGGGTGATCGTGCTAATCAGCTAGCTTGTCGGGTAAGCCTTTTTACTTCAGTTTTTCGTATCTCAATAAAATCGTACTAGCTATATAACTTGTTTTGGATTGAATATTTATGGAAAATTGAGTTCTGGTCTAACGAAATATATGCTGTGCTCAAGGTTTGTGTTCTTCTCTCGGAGTTGCGGTTTATGATTAGAAAGACACATTTTGCTTCAACAAATCTGGGAGGTTTGGGATATTATCCAGATGCGTCCATGCGTAAAAATTTTGGAACCTTGTGTGCATTGTGCAACATCTCCGTTTTTCAGGTTAGTAATTTGTTCTTAATTTCCTCTCTGTAGCTGAGCAATGTTAAATTTCAGGTTCAAGATTGGACTTGAAATCTCTGGCCGAAAAAACAATTGGACTTGTAATCTGAGCGATGTGTTTTTAGTTTTTTACGGT